ACTTTTGTAATTCAGAAGATTCTGTCAAACTGGACACCTTAAATAGACGTATTTTAAGATTTGTTTTAAAGGCCTGGGACTCGAACTATGATGCTCTTCTAGACAAGGCTGGTGTGTGTGGTTTAGCCAACAGGAGGATACAAAATATGATGATTTGTATATTCAAATGTCTCCATTTTGGTAAATATCCGTGCTATTTAAAACAACTGATCAAGTTAAGATCTACTGCTTACTCCCTACGGGGTACTAATATTTTATCACTTCCTAAGCCGTCTACAACCACATATGGTCTAAATTCCTTTAGCTATTCATCTGTTAAGTACTGGAATTCTCTACCTGATCACTTTAGAGAGACTGTAGATTATCGTGAATTTAAGAGCAAATTGTTAGTGCACGGTTTTAGTTAATACTACATTAATTAATATTATATTATATATGTTGTAACTTTTAAAATTAGTTAGGATCGTAGATACTAGCTATGTAAGCTACACTAAAATCCGAGGATAAATAAAGTTTATGTATGTATGTATATATGTATGTAAAGCTTAGCCACATTGAAGTTCTAGTCACAGCCCGATTGGCAAAATACACAAATAACATCAATGTGTACAGTTTTGGCTACAGTAACAGTGGCTTGAGTTATTTTAAAAAATGTAACTTATGTTCAGATAACTCTTGCTTTACAGTTAGCTCACTGTTACAGACACCCCTGTAATATTGACAGTAGCTGATTCCCCTGAAAAAGTAAAGTGAAAATATTGGACAGAAATGACCATCCACTTATAATGGACTCATGCTATTCAGTGACATTAACTCACAGCCAGGGGGCATCCTCAATAATGAGAGTTAGCCTGTGAACAGGCTCTCTGTTTGGGGAAAGGGTGAAAAAATTGCTGTGAGGGAAAGGAAAGGCAGAGAGCCTGTAGACAAACCTTTGAGGCCACTGTTCCGCCCTCTTGTAATTGCTGTTCAAAATCTGTCAGCAAGATCGTTATCTATCTCTTGGATAAACTGGAATGTTTTGATTTTCTGTGGTGATTGATTCTGGTCAGCATTATTTGCCCTCTGATGCAAGAGCATTTTCTGTGACCCCTTTTGAAATGTAAATCTCTTCATTGTGGTTAAATAAGGGTTTTAGGTTGTCTAATTTTCTCCAAAGTGCCTCCTGGAATCAATTTTCTTTTTTCTGTGAATGTGATGGTTTCCTGCATGCCTTCCCGCTTTTCCTGCTCCCCAGTTCCCCCTTGACTGAAGGCCTGTTCACAGGCTAAGGGAATTGACTACACTTGTCACTACAAGAGTGGTTCCAGAAAATATCCATGCCCACCCAATGGAGGGCCATTGCAAATTCGATGGGGAGGGGGAAGGGTCTTAAAGGCCAATATTAATTTTAAAGGAACATCTGAGGCTAAACTTGAATTTCCAGAGGAGTGGGGTTTCAAATAAAAAAAACCCTCTAAGGGAAAGTTTGGATAACTTTCATGAACGACACAACACAGAAAAAAAATTATAAAGAATAAGATAAAAAATATATTGGACACTTGATTCAGTGGAAGTTAGCCTTTTTTGTACTAAGAAATGGTCTGCTAAATTATAAGCAGCAACAAATAATTTGGCATGTGACATATCTTTGTTTGAGAAAACAAATTTGTTAAAGATTGTTGAGAGTATATGAAAATAAAACCATGCAGGATTTATTGACTGCTAGTCTAAGAGTAAGCGGGGGGGGGGGGGGGGTGGGGATGGATGGATAAATGATAAAACAGTATCTTTTTGTTTTTCCTTCTGCTCTGTGCTCGCTTCCTTCATACACTCACAAAATTTGTCTGTGGACAGCCTACAGAGAATCCAGATGTATCTGTTTTGATTGTAGTTTCCTGGTTTTGAAATAAACTCTGACAAAATATGTTAGACACTTAAGATGCTAACAGTATGCATCAAAATATCTTCTGAACAGTGAGGTTGATGTAACTGTTCCTTGTTTGAAACTCCAAGCAAGTCATTCATTGTCTTTAGATTCTCTTTGCTTTAACAGGGCATCTCTTCTTTTCAAAAGTTCTTTTCTCCTTTTTTGCCGCTGCTCTACTTCCTCAGTTCCCATAACCTGCCACACAGGTTTTTTAGATTTCATGTTTTCATCAAGAACTGTTAAAAACTGTTCAGTTCTCCTATTTGCAGCAGCTAATGCCTCTGGTGAACTTTCCTCATCTGGAAGGTTCTAAACAAAATCAAAAAATGAATTATTAGTTAGGCCATCCTCTTTTTTTTCTCCATTTACCGTCGTCTGTCCGACCCAAATTTTTGCCATTTTCAAAAAGAAAAAAAAAGTAACAACGTAGTTACACCATTTTTCACTTGAAATAATTCTTTTAATCTGAAAAATGAGCATAGTAACAGCATACAGAAAAACAGGAACAAAAACATGAATATTTTTCACAGTATATTGTACATTTTGTTAATCCAAATACGTGAATGTTAACTTTTAACGTTGTCATGGGGTACCAGGGCCTACTATTCCGAGACTTCTTGTGATTTTTTTTTAGGTTGTTTTTTTTTCAATCCGACCGGCCGACCCAATATCAGCAAATGCATTCAGCGGTAAATGAAGAAAAAAAGGGGATGGCCTTAACTTGTTAAAGTTTGGGTGAAACATATGACTGAAACTGAAATAAACTTACTTACTCATTGGTCAATTGAGAACAAATGGAATTCTTCACGGATATGTTATAAAAATCGAGAATTTCTTAAGGGGTAGGGTAAACAAAATATGGAATTCTTTGTGGGTGAAATTTTAATTTTCATGAAATTCTACAGGGGTAGACCCGTGATAGTCTTCAGGGATTGACAAATTTTGGACAAGGGGTAGACTCATATGAATGCGATTTTAATTAATCTTCAGGGGCAGGGGCAAGAAGAAAAGGTACGTCCTCAACGCCGGGGGGGGTTGGGGGGGGCAGGGGGGTACGGATATTATGCAATAGCCCAATAGCCCATTCACATATACAGCTGTGGCTTAAGATAACATAATCTTATAAAAGGAACTATACATGACCTGAGAGCCGTGGAAGGTTATAGTAAATTAGCAAAAAAGATGGGCCAACCAGCTGCTTACATTTCTGTATCAATGGTGCAAAGCTTTAAAAACTCAATACATTTTATAAAGCTTAGCTAATTTATGACATAACCTAATTTATGTTACTGTTTCTCCAAAGGCTTCAGTGAGCCGTTACCTTTAACATTTGTTCTTTAGATGGTACAATCATCTTCATAAAGAGCCAAGCCAGGCCTAGACCACCGGCAGTAAGGCCTGAACTTAGCAAAAGCCTGTAGGTTTTGTCGCTTATGGGCATATTCCCCCTATACTCTGCTCTGTTCTTCCAAATAATATTGATTCTTCATGTATGGCAACATCATTGATCTCCAATGTCTGAGACCGCTGACAGAGCTGCAGTCTCACGAAAGCCCTATGCCCAATGCTGGGTGAGAAAGAACACGCTAACCAATAAAACATGGCGCTGTCTGACGCAGATGTTGCTTCTTCCTTGGCCGAACCAGACCCTAGTACAAAGGACTTTATCTTTCAGCAGACTATGCTGCGAGTAAAGGATCCTAAGGCGTCACTGGATTTCTACACCCGTGTAATGGGCATGAGGTAAGCTTATGTAAAATGACAAAATATATAAGCTTAAGTCTTATATAAAGGCAGTCTTGCCCACATAATGGGCAATAGGGTTTTGAATTATGCATGAGGGAGAAATTTTGGTTTAGGTGCAATTTGGAGAGGGTGATACCACTTACATTATGCAGCAAGCTCTCCACACATCACCATTAATTTAAAAATTTATGGTTGGTAGGGGTGGGGAGGGGGTGTGTCATCAAGTCAGCTGAATGGGGTGTACAACAGTTTTTCAGAAGGTGAAAAGTTCAAATCTTATTACAGTAAGACTTCTGTAACCAGGGCCACTGAGACAAAGTTGAATAATTGGATCACAGGAAAATAACATTAAATTCCAAGAAAGTTGGTCATGGGCCAATCAGCCGCTCATATAAAAAAAAAACAATTTACTCGAAGCACAAAATTTAAATATTGACAGCAAACATTTCTCAAGAAAGGAAAATGTTTCACCAAAAAAATGTTTTTCTATTCGAAACTTTACATATAACACCCAGGAGATATATTTGTTTGACACAAGTTGTTATTTTGTCATCTACCAGCAATTTCGTCGCTACCAGCTGCGCTTTCATCATGACCTCAAGTCAAAAATTAACTAATATTTATGTTTTTTGTCTGCGTCATCCACTCTATCTGACCTCTCAGGTAACATGGTTTTTTTTCAGAGGGTTCAAAAGGTCACATCAGTAGGTTGTAATTGGTTGATTTTGATCCATGTTGGGTCAACTGGATTATGATTGACAACTAACTTTCTCAGAATGTATTGTTATTTTCCTGTAATCTGATTGGTAAACTTTGTCTAGGTGGCCCCAGTTATAGTAGTCGCACTGTAAGTAAGCATTGTAAGTAAGCAATAAAAGTGAATCAGGTCCATCACTAAGGGTCAGGAGCTGGAAATTTCTGCTTACTATGAGCGCTACCCCCAGATACTTTAATAGAGATGAAACAAAAGGAAAATAGAACATAAATCACTTTTTAGCTGTTCAATTTCCTGCCTACTAATTGCATCCCTACCAAGCTGCTTTAAATCTACCAGATTGACAGCTCTGCTTGATGGTTGATGCCAGTCATTTAACCCATTCGCTCCTGGAGATTTTGCCGAAAAACGCGTTTTCAAGCTAGTTGAGTGGTTTTCTGGTCACTGTCGTGCTATAAAGAGCTAAAACTTACCACAAACCGGTTTACAGGTCGTACACTTCGCGGCCTTCTGATCCAGATGCAAAATATCAGCTTGTGAAGTTCGGGCATGCGCAGAAAGCAAAATTTCGAGATAGTTTTTGGGTTTAAAAGTGACACAGCAGTCTTGACTTTTATTTCCGCTTTCTCTCCTCCCTTCTTTTTTCACTTTTCTTGCCTCATTTTTTTTTTCTCTTGCTGGGCATTTAGTAGGCTTCATTTTTGTGGGAAGAGTTTTTAGGAAAGCTTTTAGGATCTTAGGATTAGGTGAAAGGAAAGGTAGGTGGGCAATGGAACAAGATTTTCATGGAGATTTTCAGGTCAATGTCACGTGGTTTTTTGCTTCTTTCTCCGGGGCAGGGCCTCATGATTTTTCACAAGATGAGTCCTAGGACTCAACATAACTATTTGTAACAAAATCACTGAATAAATCGCAGCTATATTTTGCTTTTTTTATGTACTTAGGCTTCTTAAAAAGTTACATTTCCATGAGATGAAATTTTCCCTTTATTTTCTGGGATTTGTGGATGCAGCTAGTATTCCAAGTGATGAAGATGAACGAACCAAATGGCTTTGTGCCCAGAAAGCAACTTTGGAACTAACTCAGTAAGCTGTGTCAACCTTCTTATTAACTTACATTGCATAGAAGTGAGTAAAATGGGCTTTAAATTCATTGTTTCTTAATAAATCGGTAATACACCTATAAGGCTGTATCCCATTTGGGTGGGGTCACTTCCTTATTTAGCCTGCACCTGGGCAAGCCACAGGACTGGGTATAGGATTTGTCCTGTCAGTCCTGTCACTGATTTTCTGCCAGTGTTAGGTTTTGTCCTTTGTCATAAACAGGGAGCTATTCAGAACAGATGTCATTGACGTATACAGGGTGTTTAATGTAGGATGAGCAGTATCCCAATGCCCAAATTTGGATCAAGTACCCTCTCTACCCCTGGAAAAGTTCCTAAATTGAAATTGTTCTGCTTTTAATCCTGACAGCAACTGGGGGAGTGAAAGTGATGACGCAGTCAAATACCATGATGGAAATTCTGAACCAAAAGGATTTGGTGAGAAAATACTCAGCAGTAGTCCCTTCAATCATTCTTTTAATAACAATACCATACATCAATATTACGAACAATCAGATATGATTTCAGGTTAATTTTGATTTAACCTAATTGTAGGTTTAAAATTTTAACCTGAAATCAAATTTGACTAGTAACATAAACACCTTCATGTATGAAAGGCATCTAAATGATGTCCACCAGTTATCATCACTGTCTTATTATTCTTGTCTGTCCAGGGCATATCGGTTTTGTTGTACCAGATGTGGACAAGGCATGTGAACGGTTTGAGAAGATGGAAGTAAAGTTTGTAAAGAAACCTAATAATGGTAACCATGATTTTCTTGAGATTTTCCTTTACCAGCAGCCCATGTATGCCTATAATTTACTTAATATGTATGTAATTTGCAGTCAAATAACGTTGCACTCGCTGTTTTTCTTCTCACTGGTTAAGATCTTTCAAGTACAGTTCATATTGTGGAAAGCAGCACAGTGTAGAGATTAGTCACTGTCTAATCTGCTAGCAGATAGGTGAATGATCTGTAAGGTGCAATGTATGTTTTCTATGAGAGAATGATAATTATGTTTCTTGTATTAGCAAACTTGTTGTTTGTGTCTTTAAGGCAATGTATTACAGTTATTAGGTTTGGTTTTTATGACATCCAAAATAATCAAGGTCTTGGTAAAAGAACAGCTGAGGCATAACCTATTCCAGACATCACAATAGTAATTTATATTGCTTAATAAAGTAACAAAATTTGGTTTTATCCAAGCAAAATTCTGATAAAGGTTTAGGTTTTGTAGGTTGTTTACTAGATTTTTCACAGTCCCCTATTTTTCCGTAAGATTGTCGAGATTGAGCGCTTTGCGTTACAGGCTGCCATCTTGCATGAGTGTCAAAACTACTTAGGGGGCGGGGGTGGATGGGAGGAAGCGAGAAAAGTATTTTTCACGCCCCATCCCCCTAGAGCTATAATCCCCGATGCCCGCTCCCTCGGTACATTTGAAAATCAAGGTGGCCACTATTAATCGATGATCTCGCTGAAAAATAGACTGTGAACAGTCTAGTTGTTTACTTACACGGTTGCTTTATGGATAATGTAAAATTTTAATGTTACTTTTGTCCTGGTTACAGGTAAAATCAAAGGCATAGCATTTGTTCAAGATCCTGATGGCTACTGGATTGAACTTCTTAATGGGGAAAACCTGCTGAAGGCTTCTAAAGAATGGTGTTCATAAAACTTCAGGACTATGATGCCCTTAAAGCACTACCACTACTGTCATAAGAAATGTATCAGATGCAAATTATATTCTATGAAACTCTAGGTCAATAGGGTATTTCATGTGATATCTAAAAACAGCAAGGAGTGAATTTGGAAATTAAGGCACACCCAAGATGTTAAACCCAACAATGAGGCATTTGGATTTCAAATGAAACACTCTTAGCTTTAAAGGGATTATTTAGCTTCTCATATGATCAAAAGAAGAAATTGAAAGGTTAGGGTCCTTTTGAAATTTCCAAGCCTGCTCCAGGATATAAAGCATTCAAAGTAGTTTGTAGGAAAGCTATAAAACTAAAAAGCAATAGGTTGTCAGTAGACTAGCTTTGAGAAGGTCATTAATTTTTATTTAATGTAAGCACTGGAAATAATCAAATCCTGGGTCATTAAAATTCAAAGTTTTATACAAGGAGTAAGTCTTCCTGTTTAATTTAATCATTATTGATAACCCAATAAAGTATTTTCACTCCAGGGGCAGGGGAAGAGGAGGGTACTCCATTATATGGCTTGTATGGGGATGTGCCGCTGGACTGGGTATGGTTTTTTTATCTCTCTGTCCTAAACAGGGTATATAATTTCATGTGAGTCTGTCAACAGGGTCTTGCCTGCCCAATTGATTAAATTTGCCAGATGAAATTTGAGCGTACTCCAAGTCTACAAAAGCAATGACCTTAATAAATTTGCTCTATTAAAAGATGGAGTGCATTTTCTCCTTTGCCGTAAACAGGGTATGTGTTTTAGGAATTTTTTGTCCTAAACAGGGTCAGGTTTTCAAACCCTCATCAGCTCACCTACACCCAGATATTCGTAGAGTACCCCCATACCCTTCCTGGATTTCACTCACATGACAAATTGATACCAGTAGTTAAATGGAACAAAAGAAAGTGTGGACTAGCCCTCCGATCATGGGATTGACTTGCTAACAACACTGACAATTCATCATTTTGATGCAACAATATGGTCGACGTGGTTCCGTGAGGAAGTGCTCTATAAATAATTGTGCAGCAGAATCACACAATGTTGAAAACAGAACTCTGTTGCTTTCTTTTTTATTATAACCTTTAAGCTTCTAGTAGAAAACTACAGGAATGTGCTTTGAATGTACTTTCTTGTATTCATTTGTCACTATTTTATGAAGCCTTATTTCGAGGAGATGACATAGTTATGGGATAACTTGCATCTCCTCGTGCAGCCAGTGTTGCTTTGAACTGCTGGGGACTGCTGTAAATAGTCTTGGTGCCTTGGTTTAAATAAGGCATGTTATGAGGAGTTGACTGCAGGCTGGGTATATTGAGCTTTGAGCCACTCGAGCTTCGTATCCAGTCATCTTTAAAAACTTGAACAGTAAGGTAAGTTACATGGCTGGATAACTTGTTGGTAACATGAGCAAGCACCATCTGTAAACAAAGAATGATATTTTGACCATAAAATTTCAACAAGGCCTTTGTCTTCCCAGATGGTAGTATTCATTGTTGCAAAGGTTAGAGGGGGTAAGCAAATGACTGAAAGAAATGATAAAAATTCATCATAACAAGGTCAAGAATCTCAGCTGACCAGAGGTGAAACAATTGGTTATTGCTGCCACGCGAGCAAGCCTGGGCAGCAGACCTAACCTGTTCAGGGACAAAAATTTTCAATTTCTACCCACAATGCATCTGGATCTTTAACCACAATGCACTTTTTTTACCACAATGCCTTGATGTCGCAATATATAATGTACCATGATCATACCCAGCATGTTTAGTACCATTCCCCAAGTCAGTGAAAATCTGGTGTATTTCAAATAGACATCAGACACTAGACCCAGCTGAACTGAATGTGGCCTTTTAAAACTTTTACAATGTAAATGAATTTTAAATTTTTTCTTTTTAAAACTTTATTGGAACTTCTCATGCATGGTTGCCACAGGTCAGGGAAAAGTCAGGGAATTTCACTTAAAGTCAGGGGAAAGTTAAGTGTTTGAAAGAAGTCAAGGAAAAGAGAAAGTTTTAAGAGTACATATTTATTCTTTTCCCTCTACTTTTACTGTTTTCTAACATTAAAATTTTCTTGTACATTTTACAGACATGAATCGTGTTGTATTGGTAGAATATTGTTCATGAAATTGAATGACAAGCCGATGTTCGCTTTTCAAGAACATCAATTTTTGCACGTTGTGTAAATGAACTGTCAATTCATGTACAGTGTACTGACAGGGGTTTCTTTACAAGCAGGACGCTGGACACAATGTCTGGTTATTTGATGTGTAAACATCCGGTAGTTCACACACAAAAATAATTTTTTGAATTATGAAAATCGTTTCCTTTTTTTTTTCATTTTTTTAAATATTAAATAAAGTAAAAAATGGACAACTGCAAACAGACAGTTATAATTGCCAAATCAAATATTTCATTTTTTGTGAGGCTTTTTTATTGCCTCAAAATACCTTTCTGGTTAACCAATTGTGATCCAGAGAATGTAGGAAATTGCATTTTAGAGAGTCCAATCATAAAAATTTCCCGGGGAAGATGCCTCCTGACCCCCCCTAGAAGTTTTTGACTCCGCCACTCAACATTAGCACCTGTGGCACAAAAGGTGCGAGTCCCCCAGATAAACCTCTTCATCTGGTACTTCCAAATGCTATGGATTAACCCTGATGCACACTGCACGTGACTTGCTGAAAGCATAAATAAATAGGTTGAGGCAGGGGATGGCTGTGAGGGGAGAGTTGAGTCCATCATTATTCAGCTAGTCAGGGAATTCCAGGGAAAAAATCAGGGAATTTCAGAAACCTCTGACTGTGGCAACCATGTCAAGGTCAGCATGCACATGCCATGTTTTTCTTCAATTTCATTTGAACATAACATTGTGTGTGCATTTTTTCAGTTTCCTTTAAACCTCAGAGGAAAAGGGAGCACATGTCATACATTAAACATTACATCTTTGTTTTGAACTTTACTTGAACGTTACATTGCACGTGCATTTTTCAGTTGCTTTTAAACGATTATTTGTGTCACCCAGTTTTTGTGACACTTCAGCACAGTTCACTAAGAGGCAAGGTAAGATCCTTTTCTTCATGGATTTATCTTTTTCTTTTCTTAACATTTTCAAATTCTTTTATGATCATGTCCTTGTGTTAATCTCTACACTCGTGCTTTAATTTACTGATATTTTTTTCCTTTTTATTTGTTGCTACGGTGCGAATGAGCCCGACACAGGCAAGCAAGGCAGCAGACCTAATCTGTACAGAGACAAAAATTTTCGAATATTTTTTGTCCTTTTGATTATCTTCTACACCCATGGTTTTATTGAACTATTATTTCACAATACTTCCATGAGACAATGTTCGAATAAAGCAGAGTAAAACTTCTGATGACTAGGCTAACAAATTGTGTCCCAAACGCTACACAAGACGTGTTCTAATGGGCCATTTCGGAGTTCCCCCTGGCCTCTGTATCAAAATGAGGTTCGGTGCTCAGGCTTTGATATGGAAATGATTTTTCATTTTCATGCAAAAAAAGAGAAACTTACCTGTTCACTGGCATCTCTCCTGATTCTAACATGCAGGGAGCCTGCCTATCAAGAAATAAGTATCTCTTTTAATAATATTATGTAACTACTTATTAAATTCCATTTGTAGGCTCTGTGAGATGGAAGTGCAATATACCAGTGTAACTTAAATAATACACAGTATTTATCCGTTTAAAAAGATTGATTTTTTTTAACATCAAAAATGTTTGGCTTTTTGGGTTGCATGGGTATATAATAATTATTTAAAAAGGCACTCAGACCAATACTTATTGATCACATGGAACATTAAAGTCATATTGCTATGGCAGCAGTATTCTTTAGGCATTATTCTCTATCTAGGATCGAAGTGCCAGAGACCACAATACATGTATGTTTAAGCTTACTAACCATGCGACCAAATGACACTGTCCAGAAATGCTCATTTCTAAATTCTAAAACACCATCCAAGGTTGAAGCCTGAAAAAAAGGAGCCAAAACAGTTGTATGCACACATTAGTTCACTGAACTTACATGTATTGTCAGCTTTTTATGGCTGAATTAGCAAAGTTGCTGTTAAAAGGTCAAAAAACTCCTCTGCTCAAAGAAATTCTGTTGTATCTTACCTCACGGAGGCACTTGTCTATTTGGCTCATTATATCGGTGGGGCATGTCTAAATTTTAAACAAAATTAATAGCAAAAAATTAAGGAAACCACAGGGCAGTATTGTAGCAATTGTAGAGTCTCCCTAGATGGAAGAAGTGTGGAGAGCAAGACTGCTGTTGGAAGTGAAGAAATTCCAAATGTGAAAAAGATCTCTACACCAGAAAGGTGCTGGGGATCCAGGTGAGTAGGGGGAGGGTGGTACTCCAGAGTTAAAGTGAGAGAGATGATCAAAAGGCGAGGAACATCAACCCCCTAACCCCCCCCCCCCCCCCCCCCAAAAAAAAAAACCAAAGGCACTCAAACAAAAAAAAAAAAAAACAGAACAAAAGAAAAAACAAAAAAAAAACAAAAAAAAATAAGAGAAAAAAAACCTTCACCCCAAAAAGGGGTGGGGGACCAGGGGGGGGGGGGGGGGGGGGGAACCCCAAGGTAAAAGTGAAAAAAAAAAAAAAAAGGCAAGGACAACCAACCCCCAAACCCCCCCCCCCCCCCACGCCCAAAAAAATAAACCTAGGGCTTTCAATGAAATAACAAAAAAGCCTGGACTAAAGATTAACCTAAAAAAAATCCAATGCTGAATTTCTGAGCCTTAAAACGTTTCTTTGAAGGATTTCCTCATATGCTTGTCTAGAACTATGTGGCCAGCATAAGCAAGTGGTGCTACACCAATCTTCAGTCACATTGTTTTGAAAACTGCCCAAAACCCTTATTAAATAAGGACATCCAAAAAAATAGCTTTACTACCCCCCAAAATTCTGGAATGGAAAATTTGAAACACAAAAACATCCTTCGATCATTTCCATAAC